AACATCAGTTGACTCTATTTATGTGGGTCTGTTTCTGGGCTCTCTATTCTGTTTAATCATCTGTTTGTCTATTCTTCTACCAGTATCATGCTGTTTTGATTGCTATAGCCTTTTAGGAAGACTTAAAGTCAAATTGTGTCAGTCCTCTAACTTTGTTCTCCTTCCATATTATGTTGGCTCTTCTGGGTCATCTGCTTCATTTTGTTGATCTCTCCAAGATAATTTGTTGAGCTTTTTACTGGGATTGCATTAAATCTATAGCTCAAGTTGGAAAAACCTGACATGGTGAAAATATTGAGTGTTCCTATCCAAACATGAAATATCTCTCCATGTATTTATTTTTGTATTTTGCTCATTAGAGTTTTGTCATTTTCTTCATCTAGGCCTTAAACATGTTTTGTTAGATTTGTACCTAAGTATTGCATTTTTGGAGGACGCTAATGTGAGTGGTATTTGTTTTTTTTTTTTATTTAAAATTCCACTCATTCATTGCTGTATTAGGAAAGCAGTTGGCTTTTGTATATTAACCTTGTATCCTACAACCTTGCTAGAATTGCTTTTAGTTCCAGGAGTTTTTACTGATTCTTTCAGATTTTCCAAATGGACAGTCGTGTCATCTGTGAACAAAGATGGTTTTATTTCTTCCTTCCCAATCTGTATAACTTTTATTTCCTTTTATGTTCTTTTTGCATTATGTTCTTATTGCATTAGCTAGGATATCTACTACCAATGCTAAAAAGTAGTGTTGAGAAGATACATCCTTGCCTTGTTCCTGATCTTTGTGGAAGAGCTTCAAGTTTCTCACCATTAAGCTGTTGACTTTTTGTTGATATTCTTCATCAAGCCGAGGTTTCTCTCTATTCCTAGTTTACTGAGAATTTTTATCATGATGGGTGTTGGAACTAATGACTTTTTAGCTCATGAAGTGAGACGTAAGTTATGGTAAGAAATAAGTGAATTTTAAAAAGCATATGTGTCTTAGAAAACCTGTCATTTAGTAGCAGTAAATTATGTAAATTCGTTAGAAAACACAGAAAGCAACCATTGTAATTTCACATAGCACAACTATGTGGGATTTTTTTTAAAACTGAAAAATTTGTATAATGTCATAACCTTTAAATAGTTAATAATGGGAATATAATAAATTATTCTACTTATTAATTCTCCTGCCAAAACTTCAGAATTTGCATTGCATTACAAATTGTAAGTTCTATATATATTTATAATAATATTATATTTATATGTATAATCTATAAAGTATTATAAATTAATTATACATTTGTTTTATTATATTAATAATTATATTATAAATTATAATTTACAATAATTATAAGTAATGTTTATGGTATATAAATTATAACTTACAAGTTACAAACATAGTATAACTTTTAAGTTTTTAATAAAATTTCTACTTGTTGAGAAATCCTTGTCTGCATTTGGGAGGGCAGCGTAACCATTTACATCTGTTATATTCCTGGCAAAAGAAGAGAGGATGATGTAAAAATCCTTTGAAACGGGTGAGACAGACCATATCATGTGCCTGTTCTTGCTTCTGCTTCCTTATTATGCCTACCTTTCAGACGCAAAAGAGGACTGTCTTCTCCTTAGCAGTAAATGACTTTTGTTCAATGAAATTCAGGTGATTTCCACTGCCTCTGAGAGAGTAATTTTTGATTCAACCATTACCAATTTGGGCTATCCAATTCAATTATGTCTGATTGGGCCTGATTCACTGATGGGCTAATTGCAGAATTATATCATCAATATATGCCATACATTAGAGCAAATGGTTTTTAAAATTGTTACAATAGTATGATTCTTAAGAGTAGATGATCACTGAAATCATTTTAGGACAATCCTATTGTTTGGATAATTTTAGTGTTTATACTTTTGAATTAAAATGCTTTTATTCGTCTGTTTTTAGGTTTCTGGATGGATTTAATTGAGAAATATCATGATGAAGAAGCAATCTTAAAAAAAAAAAAAAACTATAGTTCTTTGTTATTTCTTAGCCTTGTGAGTCAGATTTCTTTCTACCATCAAGTATCAAAATAAAATATATTGTTGAGGTGAAGATTTTGTAGTTACCAACTTAATTTTTTGTGTTCATAGAAAGCCTTGTTCTCCTTAGTGGAATGTATAAGTTATTCTTGCAAATTTGATATCATGAGACAATTTCATGTCAAAAACAAATTTATCAACTTTATTTGAAGTTATTACTTTAAAGAATATTTATTGGAAAGAGAGTGAGCAGGGGGAGGGGCAGAGGGAATGAGGGAGAAAGAGAATCTCAAGCAGCCTCCTTGTGAACATGCCACCAGTTGCAGGACTCAATCCCATAACCCTGAGATCATGACCTGAGCTGAAACCAAGAGCTAGACTTTCAACCAACTGAGCCACCCAGGTGCCCCTTTTTTGAAGTTATCTTTATATATTTTATTTTCAAAAGGTCCCACTGCTCTGAAAAACTGCTGGAAAAGTATTGGTCTACCTCAAAAGTTCAGGAAATAACCTTGTTTGTCATTTGTGTTATGACACTCTGGGCATGGGATTAAATAAATTATCCGTATTTTAGGGGTGCCTGGGTGGCTCAGTGGGTTAAGCCTCTGCTTTTGGCTCAGGTCATGATCTCAGGGTCCGGGGATCGAGCCCCACATCGGGCTCTCTGCTCAGCAGGGAGCCTGCTTCCCTCTCTCTGCCTGCCTCTCTGCCTACTTGTGATCGCTCTCTCTGTCAAATAAATAAATGAAATCTTAAAAAATATTTTTTTAAATAAAAAAATAAATTATCCTTATTTTAGTCCAAATAGCTAATTCTGGTGTTACATTAATAACCTATTAATTTGAATACATGGATTTAGATTTATAATAACAATGTCTACAAAAATGTTTGCTAAACATTTTGGTAAACAATATCATAGAAAAAGTATTTTCAGTGCCTTTGCTATTGTCTGTGGACATGCAAAAAGAAAACATTTATTACAAATGATTCTCACCTGTTCATTGAAGCAGTTTTATGAGGTTGATATTTAGACATAATAGCAAATGAACAAATCAAATTAAAAAATAACCAGAGTAAAAAAATAAATAAATAACCAGAGTAATCAAATCAGAATTTCTGAGTTGTTAAATAATGAGTAGGTCAGCGAATCCAAGTACTTAGGCGGTGATTAAGCTATTACCCCTAGGTGCAGGGCTCTTTATGCAATACAAATAAACATAAGTGGTCTTTGCTTTTCCATGAGCCTTGATGTGGGAAGTGAAGTATAAACATGATGAGATTTAACTAAAAAGATTTAAATCAGTTGAAGAGATGGATGGCTGAAGACAGTTTATTACCAACTGCCAAAATAATTCATTAAGTAATCTATTCTTTTCAGAGGAGGCCACCTAATGTATCCTGTAGATAGTTATTATATGAAGGAGAGTTCCATATACATTCTTTGAAACTTGCAGAACATCCATTTTGATAATTCGGCTCAATTTTCTCTTGATTTGGATGTTTTAGGAACATCTCATATAGGGCATTCCTTGAGATAAAATACATATTATGTTAAATCAGCATCTAGGCATTATTAAGGGTGATGTTAGACTCTCCAATGCAGATCTTTTTTGGTTCATGTAACAAGAAGAGCTAGGAAAATGAGACTAATGTAGGACAAGAAGTGGGCAAAAGAGATTTCAGTTGAAATTTTTTACTTTGTGTAGATTATAGGTTGAATCTAAGCTTTCAGAGTGCCACATTGTAGCAAATAATTGCCAATGAGGCTATGAAATGATAATGGTGTTGGTTGGGGGTGGGGCATGGGAGGCCATGGAGATGCTGGTTCTTCCCTTGGTTAAGAATTTTGAGCTCAAAATCTTCCCATCTTTTTGCTTTCTTTTTATAATTAATTACAATAAAACAGCCCCTCTTCTCTCCTTTCCTTTTCCCATTCATCCCAACAAAAAGAAAGTTCTCTGATTCTTGGGGTAAGTTCCTGTCACCACTACTTTCTGCCCTGTGTTACTTTCTCCTTCAAAGATTTTGACACTGGGGCTCAAGGTCTTTCCCCCTTTTGTACCTCTTTGGATATCACTATCTTGTGTTGTCTCCAGCAGCGTGACATGTTCTATTGTAAAGGGCATGACATGATTATTTTACTTTAGTGCAAAGGAATCTGAGGGGTGAAACTATAATTGAATCAAATAAGTTACAGTTATGCATTATTCAGTTACTAAGTCTGTCTTCTGGGTTTTGCAAGTTAAGACTCTCATCACAACCATGTCCTCTCCAGTTCATTCAATAAATAACTCCATTGTGATTGCACTTTAACCTTACCCTTCCAACATTTCAGCTCTCTGTATTAAGAAATGTAAAAAGTTATCCTTCAAAATTTACATACTGTTATGTAATCTTAGATATGTAAAGAATGTTAAAAGTAGTCTAGTCTAGCCCTTTAAATATAAAATGGGACAAGAAAATTCAGACCTGAAGAGGTAGCCATCACAAAGCAAGTGGCATACTGAGATTCGGCAGAAGTCAAATGCAATGCTCTTACTCACTACTCCTCTATTAGAAGTACACTAGCATGTCCCTTTCCCTGTGGTCTTAAATTGTACAAACTCCAGTATTTCCTATAGGAAAACTTCGCTATTCTAGTGTGTAGTAAGATTTTTAGGCATCTGGTAATGATTCGGTGTGGTATATCCTTTTTTTTTTTTTTAAATCAGGTAATAGAAAATTAAGCCAGATGTGAATAACCATTCTATAATCATTAACAGGTGTTCTTGATCTCATGGTAGGTTATCCTGAGATTAGGCTTCAATTCCAAGTTATTAATGGCTAAGAGCAGGGATAAGACAGTTATTCTAAAATTTCCATACACTTGCCTCATCAGGTTCAGGGATGGAGTAGGTACTTAGGGAACACAAATATATGTTTGTTTGGTAGAGTAGTCATCAATAGCACATGTTAAAATTGTCTAAGAAAAATACCTTCCTTTTCTTTCTTTTCTGTAGCTTCCATCTCCAACCATTTCTCGCACCTGTCTGCCGTCTCCTGAATGCCAGTGTGACTAATGAGTGCCAGAGGCAGCAGATGGGAAGGTAAGCCTTCCCTGTCTGTACTCTCATATTAGCCAGTAGGGCTCCTTGTTCCTTCCCATAACATTCCACTCAGTTGATCACTAAACAGTCAGATACAATGTGAGAGGCATTTGGTACTTGTTCAATACAAGGTTCTGCATCAGAATTTACCCAAGACGCCACTGAAAGCATGGTATGACTTTATTTGCTAATCTCACTTAATCCTCAGTCATGAAAGTCCTTTTGAGCCCCACCTGTGATTTAGTGCATCCCGGAGCTCACTTTCCGTGCTTTGCTCCAGACTGGGCTATTAGGGTTTTATGGGAGTTAGTGGAGTTTTACAGTAGATCTACCCTAACTCTGACCTCCAAGTCAGCTTCATGATGCTATAGGCCGTATTAAATTGCTACCAGGTTCAAGAGGGATCCGTCCTTCCAGTTGGGTAAAGAGGCTCTGAATTGCGGTAGGCAGGCATGCCTGAAACAGCTCCCAAGTCAGGAACTTATTTTCAAGTCAGAGGATCAGTAAGATCTTTCAAAGGTTCTTCTTTATTTATTTTTTCTTTTTCAGTGTTCCAAAATTCATCGTTTGTGCACCACACCCTTCTTTTCCTTCCAATAGTAGATTTCCTTTTGGTCATTTTGCTGCTCATTAGCACCCCCACTAGCGGATCAGAGAATAAGGAAAAATCAATTTTGCCTGTTTGGGTGGTAGTGGGTAACAAAATAAGCCATTGTACAATACAGAAGATGTGGAACCTACTGGTTATATGACTACGGATTATCTGCACATCAGTTATCAGGATTCACCTTATAGCTATGGGAAACTGGGAAATGCCAGGTACAAATTTTCACTTCTGTAGCCATTTATGTTTACTATTATCTTGACTATTAATTTTTTTTTTATCATGAAAGCAATGGTAATAAAAACCTAAGCATCATCTATAGGTATGAAATAAAAATAAACTCTCTTTCCCCCTTCCACAGTCTTATTTCCAACAAGTAGTCTATTGGGGGCTTTTTTTTAATTTTTAGATCTCCTACTAGTGGGCTCCTTTAATCTAAATAATATACTGTCTCTACTGTTTTTTTTCTTAACAACTCTACACAGTTATCTCTTTGTAAAAGATATAAAAGATAAAGTTTAGCCCATTTATACTCTTCTCTTTTTATGCTCATTTTAATTTTTTTAACTCTTCTATCACTTACCTTTATAACTTCAAACATTAGATTTAAAAATTTATATACACACATACTATAGCTTTCTATCCATCTATCTCTACCTTTATATGTATATACTATTTCTTTTTTTTTTAAACAGATTTTTTTTTTTAAGATTTTATTTATTTGACAGAGAGAGAGATCACAAGTAGGTGAAGAGGCAGGCAGAGAGAGAGAGGGGGAAGCAGGCTCGAAGCTGAGCAGAGAGCCCAATTCGGGGCTCAATCCCAGAACCCTGGGATCATGACCTGAGCTGAAGGCAGAGGCTTAACCCACTGAGCCACCCAGGTGCCCCTGTAGATGTTATTTCTTGACTCTTCACCATGTAAAGTAAAAAAAATCAGTACCCATTGTATTTCTGTGTTTTGTTTCTGGAGTTGATTCTAAGAATTGAAATTCAATAAATTTTGTAAATATTATTCACTTAAGATGAAGTAAGTGTGAATATACCTGTGGAGAGGGTATTATTCTCTTTGAGTCAAAAACTAGAACCTCTTGTAGAAGAATATACCTCTAGCAAAAAACTCTTAGTATTCTCCAACAGTTACTCAAAATTATGACTCGTTTTGGTTTGCTTCAAGTATATACCATAATTTCATTTTTTTCCTCAAACTTCTAACTTTTTAAGTATTTCATTGTTGCTAAAAGAATCATAATCTTACTCTATCCCTAAATGTCCTAATTATACTATTTATTATAGAAAATTCATTTTCTTCCTGGAAACATATTTTTTTCAGGATTCTTTAATTATCTATTCTTATTTGGCTCAGTTACTTTCAGCCTTATTCTCAGTAGTCACGCTGGGATTTTTACCTCTCATACCTTTGGTTTAACACCTTGGTTCTAGAAACCTATGTATTGCTCTTTTTTGGATTCTCTTTCAGTTTGCTGTAGTACTTCCAAAAGAAATATCTTTCAGAAGTAGTGGATAAAAGATAAGGGGTAATTGTATGCCTAAAATATTGTGACTTTGCCCTCATGCTTTTCTGATACTCTGAGTATAATATTCTATGTTTATGTGATGTGTGTGTGTGTGTGTGTGTGCGCGCGCGCATGTGTGCGTGTGCCTGAGAAAGAGAGAGAGAGAGAGAGAGAGAGAGAGAGAGAAAAGAAAAGGCATTTATTGCATTGCCTTTGGTATCTAGTGATACTGATTCGATTAGAGGTCTGGTGACAATCTGCTCATTACTCTTTTGTTAACAACACACACACACCCTTTTTCTCTTGAAACCTTTTAGAAATTTTTTCCCTCTATTTTTGAAGTTTAAATTTTCTTTTACCCTGCTTGTCATTCTAGCAGCCCTGAATCTGAAGATTTGGATCCTGCTTCAGTTCTAAACAATGTATTCTATTATTTTAAAATTTATTCCTCCCTTCCATTTCCTCTCTTTCTTCTTTGGAGAACATGCATTAGATTATGTGTTGGGTATCCTACAAGTATTTTCTAGTTTTCAACTTTTCTATTAAATTTTCTATCCTTGTATATGTTGCTTTACATTCTGGGAAATTTCTTCAAGTGTTTATTATAGCCCTTTTATTGCTCTTTTTAAAAAAATTGTTGATCACGTTCTAAATTTCCAAAAATTCTTACTCACACTCAGATTTTTTTTTTTTTTGCTATAGTAGCCTATTTCTATTTTATGGGATCAATATCTCCTTAAATCTCTCTGAGCATACTAAATAAAATATTTTCCAATTCTGAATTATTCCTCTTCATTTTGAGGTCAGTGGTTTTGTTATTGTGATTCTTCCTTTTTTGTGTGCTACTAGTTTTCCTTAATTCTGAATATAATCAATTCTTAGATGCTCATTCCTTTTTTTTTTTTTTCAGATTTTTATATCTTTGAAATCAGGATGCATCTTACAATTAATACTACATCACAATTTAACTGGCAGTGCTTTTGCTTTTCTTTTGTGGTATATGAATATTACAATCTTAACTGAAATGAAACATGCTTTGGTCATCTGTAGTGGGTTATCAATATACATAAGAGTTACATCAGCTGGAATGGGTTTCTTACATAATTATTTAGGCTTGTTTCTTCTGAGGGTATTTGCTTTCTAAGTAGCTGTGTGAGTTTTTTGGTTGACAGACTTCATTTTAGGTTGCACAAGTGGAAGTAGCAGACAGCCCTATCTTGCCCTGGTACCAAACTGAAGAGATCTGTACTCTGGCTTGTGGTAATCACATTGTTGTTTCATGTAGCGCTGAACCCAAGAATAAATGCTTCTCCTATACTCAGGGGGAGGGGTTAGAAGTTGGGCATTAATTTTTGTCACTATTTTCTAGAGATTATCCTCTTGATGTTTGCCTTTCTCCCCATTCTTAATTGGTATGCCATCTAATTGTCCTTTAAGGTTCTGAATTCTACTAGATCCCACCCAGGTAGTGGCATTTTCTTGGTTGGGTTTTTGACTCTGGTTTCTTTCACTTTGATTTGTTCATTAATATCATCCTATTAACTTGTACTGCTTCTTTATTTAGGTCTAGGATTAGTGGTTCTCACCCTTGCCTGCATGTAGTACTCACCCGGGGAGTTTTATAATACGTTGATCCCTAGATCCCATCCCAGAAATTCTGAGTTTTGACTTGCTAAATCTAAGGTGCAGTCAAGATTGACAGCTGTTGGCCTAAAGCAACTCTGAAATCTAAAGCATCAAGGAGAGGCAGCATGAAGTATTGCCAGTTCAACTTCTATAACCAAATTGCCTAAGTTCAAATTCAAGCTCTTCCATTTAGGATCTCTTTGGTCTTAGGCAAGTAAATTTCTCGTGACTCAGATCTTTGCATTTATAAATTAGGGGCTATAACCATAACAGTGGTTCATTGGGTTGTCCTATAGATTCAACAAATTAATATTAAACAACATTTAGATCACAGTGTCATATAAATATAAAATAATAAGTACACCAGTTATGAACACTATTTCTCCTCTCTCTTAGGGTCTTAGCTTCGTACTCTCCAACATTTTGAACCCTGCCTCTTCTCTGAGTCCATCATTCCATTCATAGTTTCATCTAGTTCCATAAGTATACTAGAGTCCATGGTCCAACATTAGGCTTTTTCTTTTCTCCCAGCACCCTTCATTTTGTAGCTCTGTTGTCATTCTGATGTTGTAGATGACCCACTAAGTCATCCTTCACTCCTTCTTGTCCACTCCTTACTTGGACTATGGAATCCTGTTGAGAAAAATGATTCATGGTCTGGTCCACTATGTGGGTTCTCAGCACAACTCTAATTTTTTCTCATGTGTCCCTGGTGGACTCTTCCACTCCCCACAGTGATTTCTCCAAAGTTCTCTCCTTGCAGACTGTCTGTTGTAGCTCTTTCTATCTCAGCAAGCAACTTTGCCTCCTACTTCATTAAAATGTTAGAGGTTATTCATTGCAGATTTCCTCACCTTTGTACAGATAGAGCAATTAGTGAGTGCGTTTAGCCTAATTTTTTTCCCCCTTGAAGTGTCAAGGAAGAGACATATCTCCTGCTCACAGAGAATCTACATGTTTTTTGTTGTTTTTGTTCTTGGCCATTCTCATTCGTTTGGTATCTCTCTTTTTCCTACCTATGTTTCAAGCTTTTCATCTTCTTCACCCGGATTCTTCCCCTTAATTTATAGATCTTACAGCCTCCCATGGGGAAAAAAAAAATCTTTTTCTCCAAAAATTACAACATCTATGTTCTTCACTTCACAGCCAAGCTACTCAAAAGAATATTATACACTTACCTCCCTTCCTGTTCCAGTCCCTCTCACTCTTGTCCTACTAAAATTAAATGTCTACCCCTCACTCTTCAACA